GTTTGCATCCATTGGTGCGTTGCTCAACAATTGCTGCATGCGGCGCAGCAGCTGGCTGGGTGTCCGGTCGCCCAGCTCCTCCTGCGTCAGTAGCTGGCGTAGACGCTGCTGCTGGGAGGTCTCCGTGCGACGGATCAGAGTCGCCTTCAACGCGTCGTAGCACTGTTGAGCCGGTGGAGACAGGATGAGGTCACGGACCTCGACAGCGACCTCGGGCTCTAGGGCGCCGACGACATACTCGAACCGGGTGGTTTGCCGTGTAATGGCTCGTGTGGCGAAAACTGCCTCCACCTGTGCGAACCACAGGGCAGGGTCCTTGGACCAGAAAGGCGGCAGCTTGAGGCTCACAGCATTCGTTGGAGCCAGTAGAGCGCTGGCCGTAGGTGGTCGCGATGCAGCACGATGACTGGCAAGTAATGCGGCACTCGACGGAGCGGGGGTCTGCAGGGCCACAGATGGGGCGGCACTAGTGGCAGCAGACGGAGTGTTGCCGGTGGCGGGCGCTGGCTGGAATAACGGCGACGAACTAACGTCCAGCGGTATAGACATTGTGAAACAGACTCGACGAAGGCTCGGGAGACTGAAGAACGTTCAGGGTCACCAATTTAGAGGGTTTGGAAACGTGCCTCTAATCACGCGTACAGCAGACAATGTTCTTTTAACAATTAACTCCCAGTATCGAGTCAGCGAGAATCGGTATATTGCTCACAGGAAATGGCAAGGAGATAGTCCAACGAAGGAAGAATTCTACGTGCAGAGACAAACCACAAACTACTGCCAGAAGTCCAGAAGTGGAAAAAGCAAGAAGAAGAAAGCCTGAGCCGACTTTCAATGCCCGAGCTAGATCCTCGTAAAGGATACTTGGTGGAACAACAACAAAACACATGTATACAAATAATAATTATGGTAGAGTGCATGTAGCAGAGTTCGCAGGAAGTGGTACATCTGCGCAACGTTCCGAGGGTCATGCGTAGCATGGTACTCTACGTAGCCGACAATGGCAATATGATAAAGGCTACATCCTGTAAACAAAATGTTGCCGCGCAGAAGCTTGAGAAATGTACAAAATTACGAAATCGCGGAACGAAAGATAAATCGCAAGAAATCCGTGCAGGCACTACAAACGTCGAGACAACCCGGCCGAGCGTGGCGAAAGCAGAAATGAGAGTCCTACATGTAGGAGGAATTCGCTCGTCTGCGGTGCCCCCACAGCTGAGTTGTCGACGAAGACCATGCTTCCACGATAATGACACCGCTCCCTTCCTTCCATTATCGACACACTCACTGAAGTACCGCTCCACTGGCGCACAGTAGTAATTATTTCAAATGGTGAACGGTACTATTCGGCCAATAAAATGTAAAGAACTCTTCCTCTCCTCTCCTCCATGCGCTCTCACAGCCGACTCACTGCTACCCTCAGTAGCCAATACACACACCAACCAAGGAAGGGTTGCAGGTAGATACTGAAATTCCTCCTGACAGCTGTTTCGCCTTCATAAGGCTCATCAGAGAGGTGATTTTGAATAGGATGATATCAGGTGGAGATGGTCAGATTTATACTACAAAACATGGGCGCAAGATTACGGGCAAAGTGTGAGAATGAGAAGTAACAGTTACAATTCTCCAGCCACACAGTGCCAGGGGTTCCAAGAAAATGGCAGGCGAGTAATCCAATCTCCACCTGATATCATCCTATTCAATATCACCTTCTCTGAAGACTGATGAGCCTTATGAAGGCGAAACAGCTGTCAGGAGGAATTTCAGTATCTACCTGCAACCCTTCCTTGGTTGGTGTGTGTATTGGCTACTGAGGGTAGCAGTGAGTCGGCTGTGAGAGCGCATGGAGGAGAGGAGAGGAAGAGTTCTTTACATTTTATTGGCCGAATAGTACCGTCCATCATTTGAAATAAGCTTGTACCCGGTGTAAAAAGTGGGTTTTTTGAACTTTACTTCCTGTTTTGGCTTTCGTAGACCCATACATGTAAATGGAAGAGTGCGTATTCATTTCTCAGCTTGGGTTCATATCTGAACATGTATCATGGTTACTTTTTTATTTTCATTGCTATCAGGTTCGGCCTCATTTCCTCTGTGCTGCGCTGATGAGTTCACAAAGAACGACTCACAGCATGCTGTCCGCAGATTGAGCACACTGAAAAAAGAGCACTTTTTGCCTGTTTTCACTGAAAAGAGCACTTTTGCAGCATATTTTGAGGGACGCGAAAAGCACTAAGTGCGAATTAAAAGAGCACCTTTGGGAAAGGGCTACCGGTTACCCCCTTGGGACCGGCACTGCCCGTATCTCAGATTTGCCCGTATCTCAGGATAACTCATCTACCAATGTACCATGTATCATATCATTTTTGAAGAAGTTTATTTGGAACTTATTGCACATGTTCAGGATACAGAAGGAACCCATTGATAAAAAAATGTGTGGACTACATACTGTAGGTTGGCAGTGAAAAATAAGCACTTCCTCATACGGAAAAAGTTCAAAAACCCAAAATTCGAAGCATTAGTGCTACATCAGGGCCCTGAGTATTTTTATTTGACGATTCCGGGCCCTACATGTGCTACATGGAACTCAAGCTGAAGTTGCCCGACTGCCCGGTACAGAGACGTGCGTCACGTGCCCGTATCTGAGGTCACAGTGAGGTGTCCGGATAACTGGAGGTGTTTGAGTGTATATTTAAAATAGGTTTTTCATTTGACCCGACGAGACCACATGCACACGACGCTTGCAGATTACAGCACGAACAGTTCACCAGCCACACTCCACGAAAGCAAGACGTAGTAGACCATGGTAGACTAGTAGGTCTACTCCTGAAAAGTCTTGTTTCGTTCCATAGAGATACATGTATAACGGGGAACTCATCAGAGGAGAAGCAGTCGTTGAATGAAGGGGTTTAGCTGAATAATGCTATTTTATAGGAAAGATATTGGCCAAGGTGTACTACATGTACATGTATGTACTATCCGCATCTAGATCTTGATTGCAGGGTTGGCGTCTAACGCTATATTCCGAGCAGCAGATCAAATCCATCCTCTGGTCAATGGCAGGTTTGGAGAAGTCACAATTCTTTGTTGCCATCTTCAATAGGTCATAGGACAATAGGGCCTAGGTCATAGGACCTATTGAAGATGGCAACAAAGAATTATGACTTCTCCTGGACCAGGAAACCTGCCATTGACCAGAGGCCTGGTGAAGGATTTGATCTGCTGCTCGGATTATAGCGTTAGACGCCAACCCTGCAATCAAGATCTAGATGCGGATAGTACATCATACGTCGCCTCAGCAGCCCACGACTCTGAGTTCTATGTCACACCCAGCAGCCTTCCTTTCGCCTACCGTTGGCTGAATTTCAATCATCGCGGTTTGTGAAGTATTTGTCACTCAAGGCTTGTGCAGTTAGCAATCTTCAGATGTGACGTTAGACGTCCGCGATGATTTGTTGGCTTTCACTTGGCGTCTACTTTTCACCCATCTTTAGCTTTGTCACCACCTCAGTACTCTTTGTGACGTGTAAACTAGAATGTAGCGCAACCTATTCCTGTGTACCTCTCCTTCTCATTGTGAATGATTTAGCACTTGTTATACAGTCAACTTCGCTAATAACGACTGCGGATATAACGACAATTCGCGAATAACGACCGAATTTCCATGCCCAGAGCAAAGTCCCATCTAACTGTATACATTTGACTTCGGATATAACGACTATCTGAATAACGACAATTCGCGTATAGCGACATGCTTTTAGTGCCCCGTGGTCATATTCACTGCTTGAATAACGACTTTCTGGGCTTTTGACAGCTATTTCAAGTACCTGTCAGTCAAGTACATGTACCTGTCATGCAGAAGTACCAGAACCTATGGTGCACTGGTACCGGTGATGGATATTATTGCACACATGCAAGAAAATGCAGCCAAGGGGGGGGGGGGGCTTTTTCTTCCTTTTTTTATCAAAATTGTTGGATTTACCAGCACACCTACATGTATATGTATACAATGTACATGTAGTTGTACATGATTGTACAGTAAATTTTCATACATGTACATATCTCTGGCCCTGTAGATGGCTCAAAAAGGCATATTTTTCAATTGATTTCCCTTGCATATTGAATTTTTAGTTCCTTTCAACTGCAATATGAAAATAAAGTACACATTGACATAGAGCAAGAAAAGAGCTTGATTTTGATATGCATATCATACTATACAAAATATGGGTTCACATACATTCAAATGGGACTTCGGTTATAAGGACACTTCGCGAATAAGGACATTTTTCTGATGCCCCGCCGAATGTCGTTATTGGCGAAGTTGACTGTAGTTGTGTCTGGTAGGGTTCAGAACACCTCCATGCTGGCTCAGATGATTCCTTTTGTGTTGATTTGTCACATATGTGAGTTAGTTTGGTGTTTACACCTTGCGCCAATATCTTTTCTATAAAAATTTTATAGAAAAGATATTGGCGCAATATATTTAATAGCATTAAATATATTCAGCTAAACCCCTTCATTCAACAACTGCTTCTCCTCTGATGAGTTCCCCGGTTGGGGATTGCCCTATCAAAAATTTGATAATAATAATAATATCTCTATTCTCTATGGAGCGAAACAAGTCTTGTCAATGTCACTCATTGTCAGGAGTCCGCCGAGTCTTGAGATGTTGTAATAAAATTAATAATAATAATACTCTACTACGTCTTGCTTTCGTGGAGTGTGGCTGGTGTGGTGAACTGTTCGTGCTGTGATCTCCAAGCGTCGTGTGGTCTCGTCGGGTCAAGACTCAAAATAAAAAAAAATAAAAGAGTCAAATGAAAAACCTGAGGACAGAGAGTGGAGATTTACCGGAGACTGAATGTGAGGGAAGTGATAAAAACACAACTTCCACCTAGCTCTCGAGACCTCATCTGCGCTGCATGCATACGATTGTGACGTCACAACAAAATGGCGTCAAGCATGCAATCGGAGGAGAGGCCCAAAAAAATGAAGAGCTAGCTGGTGACTGACTTTGACGAGATTTGTTGCAGCCACTTCTGTGTGCGGTGTTGTTTGTGTTTGTTTGGTGGGCTTTTCGCAAGCGTAGAACTCATCCTCGGCAAGAGATTTCGCCGCCCATCTGCTGGCTGTTGTTGACTCACAGCTCTAAGACAGCAGGATGGATCCCGAGTCCTACGTCCTAGGTATAGACCTGGGCACGACATCCGTGAAAGTGGCGGTCGTGGATGCATTGAATCGTCAATGTGTGCATCGCTCCATGGCTGATACGAGTGCTGTGGTTCCGAATGCGGAGGTAAAGCGCTCCAAAGAGCAGAACGTGACAATGATTTTCGCCACTCTCGACTCCCTGGTGTCGTCCGTGCCTGCACAGCACAAGGAGAAAATCCGTATGGTGTCTGTCTGCGGCCAGATGCATGGTTGTGTTCTCTGGGGTAATAACCATGATAACGAAGTGAGTGATGCTCGGAACGCCAGCTCAGCTGAGTCCAGTGCTGCTAAGGACAGCGGTACAGAAGAGCGGAAGTGTGCAGGCGACGAGCAGGCGCAGGATTCGTCTGAGAGCGCCAGCAGCAGCAGCAAGGATGCTGTGAAGGTGTCGAGTGAGCCAGGTCGTCTGTCCCTGCCACTGTCCACCCCTGTCAACCTGGTGGCGGACAACCTGGGCAAGAACACGAGCGAGGGAGAGGCCACCACGCCGACAACATCCACGGCGCTCTCACCCACTGCGGGTAGTAGTGACGCTGCAGCAGCACCGGCCGCGGGCAGTATAGCATCACTGGCCGCTTCACCGCTGCTGCAGGCCATGCCGCGCGTCATCTCCACGCTGGTGACGTGGGAGGACGGGCGCTGCGACACGGCGTTCCTCAACTCGCTGCCGACGCCGAGCAACGGCCGCCTGAGCACCGGCTTTGGCTGTGCCACGTTAGCCTGGATGCACCGGCACGCCAGCGAGGCCTGGGTGCAGCAGATGTGCGCCGCGGGGACGGTGATGGACCTGCTGGTGGCGTGCCTGACGTCGCAGCAGGATGCGCCCGTCATGTCCGAGCAGTGCGCGGCTAGCTGGGGCTACTACAACTGGGAAGACCGGCAGTGGGATCTGGACGCGTAAGTAGTAGTTGCCGCCTGCCGTCTAGTGTCATGCTCGTCTGCTGTTGATGTCGCTTCATGCCAGCTGTGCGTACAAATTGCACGAAACAAAATCACACGAAACTACACCCATGCCATGTACTAGCATAGTTACATGCATGGCATATACTACAACTATACACATGCCAAGAGTGATACTTATAGGCTATTCATACTACGTTACAATACACGTCACGTTTTGGAATACGACGTACTGGCAGACGTCGTTTCCATGCAGGTGCATTCACACAGGCGCGCACACGCTGCTCGTACAGCTGTGTGTACAGCTTCTTTTGGACACAAACTGCTGGGAACGACAGAACGAAACTCGGTACAGGGGTCTGGATACGTGTCTACATTTTCGTATCAGGGGTACGATTTTCCCGCCACGGTCCATGTTGTCATGGCTATCCGGACGAAAACGTCACGTACTCCACATTTTGGGCGTAGTGTGAATGGCCCATTACCCCCATTGAGTGTACAGCTCCACTATCATTGTGGTCCCGGCAGAATTTCGACTTGACGTCATTTTTTTGTGGTGCAATGCACGCGGTGTCCACGTATTATCAGATGTATCCTGGACCTGTGGTGGATAAATCTCCATTTCCGCATTTCCCACCGTAAAACACGTGTGCAATGTGCATTGCACCATACAACTGCATCGGCTTGAAATTCTGTCCGGACAGCAGTACATAATGGAAGCTGCAAACTCTTGACCGTACACTACACCCCAGCATCTTATTTTCAGCCAATTCAGGGCATGGAAGTGGTGAATGACATCAGGAGTCAACAAATAACGACTTCAGTATCGACTCTGCCCACAGTGCAGTGACGTATATGGTGGGTAGGGCCATTGCCTTCGTGTCACGTGCAGCTGTGATTTGTCCGTAGCAGGAGTGGGTCCCTGACCAGCGGGAGGGCGCAGTCTTGGGTTGTCCACAAAATGTTTTCAATTATTTTTGAATTTTGGTTGGATTTTCGCACTTTGAATTTTTTTGGAATTTTGGCCCATCAGGATTGAATTTTGGCCGTTTTTGGAGAACGACAGTGATGTCACATCAGGAGAGTACATGTGCTGCTCAATATATTACCAAGTTTGACATGTGAAAACAGTACTTTCAAATACACACACCTTTGACCTTTGCCCTTTTGACACCCATCCCCGAATTTGGAAGCACACAGACACACATGATAAGCAGCAGGGAGTCGTCAAATACCGGGAGTGGAAACGCCGTTAATCTTGATTATCCATGCTCGCCTCGCGCAAAATTTTTGCAGTGCCTTGAGTACCTCAGCGTCGTCAAATGCAATTTAGAGTAGCCTTGAGTATTTTTTGGGAGAAAGCGTCCATCAGAACGTGTATACAGAGATATTTGCAGTGGTCTTCTCGTTTACTAGTAGGAGGACACCTAATTTATCGGTAGGCGTTATCGCAGTGTTGCGATGTATGACTGGAGGCCCGATTCACGCGCGGATAGTGACGTGACTTTTGATGTAATTTATCGAGGAAAATAGCTCAGCCTCAGTAATCAAAGCCACTTGGTTCGACCCACGAAAAAACTTCTCGTAACCATTGTCCTTTTCATATAGGTGCTACCTGTGAATTTTCTCGGTGTAAGATGATATGCCACTGACTTTTTGAGGGACCCTTCGTTTCTAAAACATTATTGATTTTTAAATCACGACAACATTATTATAAAGTCAAGGAATTTCTCTTGTTTTCTTCTTCAGTGTAAGAGAACATCACCGCTTTCAGTATGTCTCATGTCAAGAGGAAGCATGACAACGTATATGCACCACCAACACTGAGAATCCAATTACAGATTTTGCCAATTGTGGCGAGTATCACAGAATTGACAATGCACACCGAATTAAACTGTTCTAAATCCCTCTCTTTCTGTCTCGCTTCTCTTTGCCAACTTTGGGTGTCAGCAGTTACGCATGCGTACATGCACGCACCAATATACGGGTGCGCACGTACCAATATATGGGTGCGCACGTACTCATTGGCATGCACAAACTGCACATGCACACACACGGCATGTACGAACTGCGCATGCACGCACATTCACACACATACACACACACACACTGGAATGCATGCATGCACACATACACACAAACCTGGTCCTGGTAAACACTGCCATTACGGTCACCTGTCCCCTTGCGGGGCCGACAACATGGAAACGACGAGCGACGGCAGAAAGTCGGCAGTCTGCCAAGAGATCAGGGACCATATTCAATCGGCACGACAAGAGAGCCACCTTTGGCAGCACACACACACACACACACACACACACACACACACACACACACACACACATACTGACATGCCCACACTGTGCATGCACACACACGAACACACACGGTGGATGTTCATGTGTCTCAGATTTAATTATCTTTTCAAAGTTTGGTAGATTCGGAGACATGTTGGCCAGAATTTCATAGCCGAAAGTCGCCAACACCGGCTGGACGCTAGTTAACTCAGGCTTTCTGCTAGCTTCCAGCTCTCTTTTCACCGCAACAACACACCAACCACCATGGTATCTTTTTGGTGTCTCTGCAGTGCAGTTGACTATGGCGGTGGGCTGGGGCGCTGCTGCTGCTGTTGCTGCTGCGGATGATATATGATGGACGGCTTTCTTGCCACTACTGTACCGCAAATTAAACTTGAAAACACAGCTGATGTGGTCTCCAGGTCTGGACAAAACGCACACGGAAAACAGCGCAGTATTTCTATATTAAAATTGTCACAAGTATTCATCCAGGTAGAGAATGCCATGTGTATCCTGATTTCCTGACCATCACATAGTTTCTTAAATCTACCATTGCATTTCTTGCAACATCACGATAAAATACGTCAATCTTAGACACACAACTTCGGGGCTGTTCAACTTCACGGCGTAGTGGATGGCCCTTGCAACAGAAGCTTCCCTGGGTCTGTACTTGACTGCAGGTTGATAAATCGAATGCTCTGTACATGCAGCATGCGTGTGTAACAAACCAAAACAAAGCTATTCAGTGATAGAAGTATTCACTTGATAAAGCTTGGTTTTACTCACCTCTCGCCAAAGTTCCTAAAACATCACTCGTAAAATGGCTACCGATATCTCCCTGTCCAGCATGACCATGCACTGCCGACCAATCCACGACGAAGAGTGATAATACTACAAAAGGGAAGCGGAAATCTGACGAGAAGGTTTATGTATGGAGACGTCTAAACTGCTCCGCTTGCAGGAAGAACCAAAATAGATTTTGACATTTTGAAATTCCCGCGGAATTGGTGAATGTGGCACAAAAAAGATTATTTGGAAAAAATCGGCGTGCTCCAGCGCGAGGCGAGCATGGATCACGCTCGCGCATCTCGTTTCCACTCCCGGTATTTGACGACTCCCTGATAAGCAGTTTGTGGTTTTTTTGGAACTATTGGGTACGAGTACTGTAAAAACCATGGCAACGGATCGAATTTTTTCTGCATTTTGGGGGATTTTTTTGAATTTTCTTAAAACATTTTGACCGTTTTTTTCGCTTTTTGAATTTCAATTTTGGACAAAATAATTCGCATGATGTGGCCACGCAGTGCCGCAGTCCACTTACTACCAGTGGATGTGTCACCCTACGGTGAACAAAAACAACATACAGGTCATTCATTGGAAACTGACACCCTAGCTTTTTGGTGTCTCTCGCACATAGTTGTAGATACAGTATCGTGAAAACAACATTACATCCTGCATTGTGTGACCCGTGCAAGCACTCCTAGCCACATTTGAGGCCAGAAAAGTCCAAGAACAGGGAAATAGAAATTCAGCCAGGTTTTACAAAATTAGGACAGGTATTCCATGGCAAAATGTATGGAGAAGCAGATCCCAAACCAAGATTTGTGTTATTTAAAGTGGGTTTTTGATCCTCAATTCGTCCCCAATCGGACTTTCAAAAGGCAGCGGGACTGTTTCCGATGAATAGACTGTACTTGTTGGGAAAGCTTTGAAGTAGCGAATCGAATTCTCTTCAACTCCCATTTGGAGCGAACTTAATGGAACGTTCTAAAATTTGTTTCACCCCTAGTACTTGTAAACGTGTGTGGATCCATACATGTACAAAAACTGGATCTGATAGTCAGCGTTGCCATGACTCCGGACTGGCCGTGACCTCGCACTTCCTAGACCTATCGACCTCGCCAGTGTGCAATGTACAGTGAGACTAACCTTTGACCTTTTGACGCCCATCGCCGGAGGCGATGGTAGCGATGCTGCAGCAAGGAGTCGCGGGTGTGTGATCCCCAGTAGCCTAGTCGGTAGTGCACTGTCCGAAAAGACAGGGGTGTTGGGTCCGAATCCTGCTCGTGGCAGAAGCCATAGCAACTTATGCTGGGATTGAACCATTCAACAGGTTGCAAGGCTGAACTATTGAGCACCACTATTCAGCCTGTTCTACACCACACAGCTATTTGAAGTGGCTCTATCTGGCCAGTGAATCTGCTTTTTGGTAATTTTTCCCGCACACATCACACCACATACTCCGACATGCACTGGCTGTTGGTACCCACCCAGGAGAATGACTTCTGCTGTAGCATCGCTATCATCGCCTCTGGCGATGGCCGTGAAAAGGTGTGTTTGTGTCTGTGTTGTATCTGACTAATTTAGTAATTAACCACCTATCATTGTTTGCGCTCTTGTCTCTGTCTCTGTCATCATGTGTGGGTGTGCAGGCTGCGCGACGCGGGCTTTCCGACGCGATTCCTGCCTCGCACGTCCCCGGCCGCAGCTACAGCTGGTCAGCTACAGTGGATGTGGCATGGTATCCGCACCGGAACTCCCGTATCCATAGCTAGTGGCGATATGCAGTGTGGTGTGTACGCTGCCATGCATCGCAACTCTCAAGCCGGTGAGTTGCCTCACTCCAGACCTCAGTGTGTCAACTACATGTAGTGTCTGTAGTGTACAGGGGTTGTCGCAGCATTGTCTCTCTCCGTACTCTCTCTCTCTCCTTCTCTCTGTCTCTCTCTCTCTCTCTCTCTCTCTCTCTCTCTCTCTCTCTCTCTCTCTCTCTCTCTCTCTCTCTCGCAAATCAGGGTTTTCATGGCCGTGATGCAGCATTTCATGCCATACTGATGATCACTAGAGAAATGAGTGTTTGCCACATACCAGAGTACGTATGGAAACCTCGCCGCGGTACGGGATCAAGTTTCATACGGATTTTTTCATACCGTTTTCCGTGTGAAGTGCGACTGGTCTCCGTGTGAAAACTGAGCGGACATCGTACATCATGGTACATGTGGCGGGGAGTTCGAGTATGCTACGCAGAGCAGAACCGGCGCAACGTACTAAAAATCGGTGTCAAACTTCACTGCAGTTGACATAGAGTTTTGTACGTAGTTCCGTGTAGCAGAAACTCCATGTACTTCAAGTAGCAGACCTCACTATTAACTGCTACGGCGAGAAGATATCACAAACATTTTGAACTCTACGTTCTGCATTGTCCTGAAATCCATGTTTCCCTCTCTCTCTCTCTCTCTCTCTCTCTCTCTCTCTCTCTCTCTCTCTCTCTCTTGTCTCTCTCTCTCTCTCTCTCTCTCTCTCTCTCTCTGTCTCTTGTCTCTCTCTCTGTCTCTTTCTCTCTCTCTCTCTTGTCTCTCTCTCTCTCTTTCTCTTTCTCTCTCTTTCTCTCTCTCTCTCTTTCTCTCTCTCTCTCTCTCTCTCTCTCTCTCTCTCTCTCTCTCTCTCTCTCTCTCTCTCTCTCTCTCTCTCTCTCTCTCTCTCTCGCTCCTGTCCCTCTGCCTTGCCCCCTTGTATGTGCAGTTCTAAACATTGGGACGTCGGCGCAAGTGGCGTGTTTGTTACCCAAAGGTCACCAGCTGCCCGCGACGAGCACGACAACGGCTGCTGTAGCCAGTACTGGCAGCAGTGCTGCTGGTGGTTCTGCTGCCGCTGCAGCAGGTACAGCAAGGACGTCATCGGCACAACCGTCATCCAGCAGTGCGACCAGCAGCACCACGCCAAACCATGTCAACACGGCTGCCGGCAAGACTGCAGCTGCAGCAGCGAGCTCTGTGGAGAGTGCTGCAGCGACCCCAGCGGATGCGTCCGCAGCATCCGAACCATCTAACGGCTCGGATTCTTCACCTTCGGTACCAGCGTCAGCCACAGCAGGCGGATCAAGCTCATCATCCTCCTCTCCGGTCCCGACCAGCCCGACCGGTACTCCCAAGATTTCTCTTGCGTCCGCCACATCATCCGGCCGCCAATCGCCGTCGACCTGTAGCCGTGGCGACACGACGCAGTGTAAATCCTGCCATTCTGCGACCAGCGCCGCCACCGCAGCGGATGCTGACGGCAGCGCCAAGGCGACGAGTCCCACTGCCTGTAACCATAGCAACGGTGGCGGCGCTCATCACGTGGCAGCCGCATCAGCCAGTGGCGGTAGTGGCTCGCCCAGTGACCTCACTGCACGACTCAGCAAGCTCAAGCTGGGCAAGAACGGCAAGGCCACGTCCTCCTCTTCCTCCATTGGCAGTACGGAAAGTGAAGCATCCGTGTCGGCCGCGGCATCCATCCCACCACTCGAGAGCTGGCCGTATTTCTTTGACCAGCGACTAGCGGTGGCGGCATCGCTCAACGGCGGCAACGTGCTCATGTCGTTTGTAGAGATGCTGCAGGCGTGGGTAGCCGAGCTCTGCGCCGTGGCTCCACACACCGACGACGTGTTTGCGCATCTCATCACGGCCGGCCAGCGACGTATCCGCGAGGGGGCGTCGTCGCGCGGCGACGTGATCGTGGTGCCGCGCTTCTTCGGCGAGCGCCACCGTCCGCAGAGCAGAGCCAGCGTACGAGAGCTTTCGCCGACCAGCACCTCGCTCGGCGGCATCTTCACCGCCCTGTGCCGCGGACTGATCAAGAACCTCAACGACATGATGCCGGTGTCGTTCCTCAAGGAGTGCCACGTCGACTGCCTGGTAGGCACCGGCACTGCCCTGCTTCGCAACGGAGTACTCCAGGCCGCCGTCGTTGAGAGTTACGGCATGCGCGTCGAAGCCGTTCCCGTTGACGACGCCACCGTCGGTTCAGCGCTCGGCGCCGCCTTGGCTGCCATCGATACGGTCGCCCAGGCAACGCAGCAGCCGTCGCCGAAGAAGAAGTAGAGATACGTTGGTTTGCATCGCCGCTGACATCGCCACTGTGTGTGTGTTTGTTTGCTTAGCTGCGATGCGATATGGCCGTGCTTGTCTGGTAATCTGGTTCGCTGGCATCGTTGCTCGTAATCAAGTCTGCTGGTCGCTTCGACCCCCTGCTGCCTGGAGCTCTAAATCAAGCACATGCATATACGCACACCCACCGCCGTTTTCGTCCGCACTCAGCCCATTGTCTTTTTGCCGCCATGTCTCTCTCTCTCTCTCTCTCTCTCTCAGAATGTCTGACTTCTACTTTCTTATATCTCCGGCGCTTACTGTTGTCGCCATGGCAGTGTCGCCATGGCGATACTAGTAGTGACGCCCTGGTGTTGGTTGTGATAGTGGTAGTCGTTGTTGTCCTCATTCTGTGTGTTTTCGTTGTTGTCATGGCAATGAGCGCATGGCGAAAGTGTGCGTACGTGTATAATGCTCTTTTCATACAGTGTTATGTTGCCAAGGAGACCTGCCATCCCCGTTCGTTGACTGAAATTCTCAGTGCCATCTCAGCTTCATCGTGCCGATTCTACCAAATTAATGTTTTTGTCGCATCTTGTTTTTGTCTTTTCTTATTCTGCAGCCAGCTCAGGTTCGGCCTAGCTTGCCATAACATCTCTTTCTTTTTTTCTGCTCCCATGACATCGAAAGCTCATTCACTCCCATACCCTTAGTGCAGCACAGCTGTAGTACCTGATGTGTTTTAATATTTCTAAGAAACTGCCAAGATCGCAAACCTATAGCTCCGAGCGATGTGTGGTGTTGTGTTTGGACATGTCTTCGAGATGCCAGTGTGTCTGTGTGTGTGTTGAATGGTGTACTCCCTGAACAAGTTGCTATGTCTAACATAGCTGTTCGCTATCATCGCTTCCGCGATGGGCAGGTCTGAGGTGTGTGTGTGTGTGTCTCTCTCTCTCTCTCTCTCTCTCTCTCTCTCTCTCTCTCTCTCTCTCTCTCTCTCTCTCTCTCTCTCTCTCTCTCTCTCTCTCTCTCTCTCTCTCTCTCTCATACGCACCCGCCTTGCGCTGTGTGCAGATGTGCAAAACCTCATGTTTTCCTATCTCCACAAAATGAAGATACACGTCATACGATTCCTCTCAATCTCTGACGGGAGACCGATGGCATTCGGACAGATTTCACTTGTGCATGCCGTTGAACAATAGGAATAATAAAATTAATAGCAAAACTCTATTTTCAGAAATTTCCGGTACGAGGGCAAAAGGCCAGGTTAGGTGAACAGAAAATTTAGGTACAGAGAAGCAGTTCCCTATTGGATTACGTATGTTAGTTGTTTGTTCGGTGTATTGAAGTTTTAGGTATGAAACAGGTGCATCGAAAGTACCGAAAATAAAAGTACACCGAAACTTTGTGAAATTACAGCAAGGTTACATGCATCGAAAGTGTGAAATGTACTCTTGCAAACATGCATGTGTAGTCTTGTTGAACTGCACTTATTGAATCACATTGCATGGACATTGGTCCAATGTCGAATACTAGTACCTTCCGACGCCCCTGGGCTCTACTGTGCATGCAGTACTCATGGAGAGGATTGCTGCATGCGATATAGCGCACACGAGCCCGTGATATCATTTTCGGCAATGAGACATGCACGTGCACATGCTTCAAAACAAAATAATAATGTTACACATAGTCATGCATGTCTGGACATGCTACACATGCAATCATGCAGTGTTGCCGCAGTGTCGCTTATTGTCCTGCTCACTGTCCCATCTCTTACTGTCTTAGCGGGCCTTGGTATTATTGCACTGACTCCCTTGCCCCCCCCCCCCCCCCCTTTACTTTTACTTTCCCAAGGCGTGCATTCTTTCCTTCAATTATTGATTTTATTCTTCTGTTCCGTCTCTTTGGAAACTCCATTGTAGCCTTGTCATATTTCCAGTACACCCAACTCGCAACACACGAACAGTCCTTGGCATCATCCCTGATGATGAAAATTAATTATTTTGGACAATTCCTTCTCTTTGTAAGACCTATCACCAGCTCATCACAGGCACATGTACTTTAAGTTAATTATCAGCCCCCCCCCCCCCCCCCCTCTCTCTACAATCAAGACGACAACAGTACAATCTTAACCATTATCATGCACCCTTGCTACAATGCATACCCGACTCAGTCTACACCGGACAGCATAGTCAACTAATACATTATGTATTGCTCCTAGCTGTCGTGTGGTTCGCCTATATCAAGCTAGTTGTTTCGCTGCCTGTCTCTCTCTTCGAAGAATACTTGCATGCACACGTGTGTGTGTGTGTGTACGTGCATACACGTGTGTGTCTCCATACCTCGCATGCGCTCACGTCCACTCGCCAGACCCAGACTACAGACACACGCTTGCTTCGTCCTACCACTCTGATCTGGTCATCGGGAGAGAGCTGCTGCTCCTGTACATTAATAGATACGTACAGCTCGGCTAGAAATGTGAAGCGAAATAATAATTAGGTACTCGCATGTAGAGACAAGAAAGGTACGTACTAAAGCATGCATGCCTGGCATGACGGCGCGCACCGTACAGTCAAAGTACAACCATGCAGAACTCCACCGTACAGGGCAAACACGTACATGTCCATGGTTACACATCAGTGATTCTCGTGCACGTGCCCGCGCACACGCGCATATACATGCAGTTGCAATAAAAAGAGAAAGCCAAAAAAATCGGGAACAAAACTGGAAAATATTCGGCGGCACTAAGCGGAGAAGACGGTGGTGCGATAAAAATCATCAAGATTACCACGGCAACGAGAGCACAATCACAGGCGTTGACGGCAACGGCGTCGCCCTCCTATTATGGCGTAGCACTGAAAATAAAGCGCGGGAGAGAGAGAAAGAGAGACAGTGCAGGCAAAGAGAACAACATGTCCACAAGCATTACAGAGGGACGAAGGGGGGGGGGGGGGGGGGCAACACATATCCATAGCAACCAATATGGACGATGCACAACACAACCCATAAGACACTGATATCCAAAATGGGAAGAGAACCAAAAAAAAAACTGAAAATAAAGGTATGATACAATGAGAGGAAAGCGGGAGAGTCCGGCGATGCGGAACATGCCAGTGGAACGTGGAGCCACTGGTGTTATCGTCTTCGTCACACCCTCCTCCTCCGGGATCTCTCGGCACCGAGCCAGATTCTAGTTATGTGCAGCAAGGAGTGAGAATATTACAATGGCGGGAGAAGATGGTGGCGCGGCGGTGGCGGCTGGTGAGACTGACCAAGGCAATCAGCGTGACCATAGACGACGACAACAGCAAACGACAGGAGGAAGACGAGCATGTGAATGGTGCTACCATGTGTACACCACTGCGATGACTAATATCAGCAGCAGCAGCAGCATTGGCGGCGGGGGAGCCAGTCACAACTACCAGTGGAGCTGACGACAACGCAATGCTGGCACAATGAGATGAACGAACGAGTCGTCGTGTAAGAGAAGAGATAAAGAGATGCAGGCATCAACCGCTATTGCCGTCATCACGTCCGATGCTGAAAGCGACACAGGCAAGACCGCTGGCACATTCCTCCCACGCCGACAGCGCGCCGTAATGCCAGTAGGACACTACAGGAGGCGCCACTGTATGATTGCCAATGCCAAAACTGCCACCACCAGCACAAGCACAAACACCAGCACCACCACCACAACTCAAGAGCAACTTGGGAATGCACAACACGACGAAGACCTAACAACAACGACATCACAAACGTCACGGATAGGGACCAACACATGGCAACAACTACAACAATAACAACAGCAACATCAGCAGTAGCAATAGCAGTAGCAACATGAGCCTGGCTGCAGGTGGTGGCCGCGTTGGCGTTGGTGGTAGCACAAAGTGACAGCCACACAAACAGAAGCGCTGCACAAACTAGTACCCCAACACACGACCATCCTTCTTGCCAGAGCGAGCGCTTGCCTAGCGGCATTCCCAAACATTCACTTTGAGATCAACGCTGCCTGTCGCCACCCACGGACCAGTTCGATGGAAATCTACAAATATACACACAAGTACAGAAGAGAGAGAGAGAGAGAGAGAGAGAGAGAGAGAGAGAGAGAGAGAGAGAGAGAGAGAGAGAGAGAGAGAGAGAGAGAGAGAGAGACAGAGAGAGAGACACAGAGAGAGAGAGACAGAGAGAAAGAGAGAGAAAGAGAGAGAGAGAGAACAGTGTTCAACAAAATTCAGCCACTCTGATCAGACCTTCATAACAGCATGAGTACATAACCCCAAGAGTGTGCAATTCCAGCTATGGGGTCTGCGACGGCAGAACTTCACATCACGTGATGAACCCGTGCACTCTTGTGCATGATAGATACTGGGTTGTACGCAGCCCAGCTTTGGGTACAACTCTCTTGTGGTCACTTTGCACTGTTTGCCAGCATAACCTTTTGAACCATGTCACGTGATGTGAAGTTCTGCCGTCGCAGCACAGCATAGAGGTTGTGCAGGCAGTTGCACACTCTTGGGGTTATGTACTCTTGATAACAGTTAGCTCAGGTCAGCAATAGGCAAAATAAACACGCGGCGAATATTCGTTGATTTTAATACAAGACTTAGATGATGAGCCAAGAAAAAAACTTGTAACATGGAAAAAGATGCCGTGGAATGTCTCAGTACACCTTGTCAGTTTTGTGCGAGATTGAGCACGTCTGACCGTTCAACATTCTGGTTTAGTTGGCGGACTCAGTTGCATAACCGGTGACCACATTTTTCCATGTTACTATTTCCAACAGTATGGTAGAATTCCGAGGCCATGTTCCTGTCCTGACCTCCCAATAGTAATTATTAGCAAGAGTACATAACCCCAAGAGTGTGCAACTGCCTGCACAACCTCTATACTGTGCTGCGACGGCAGAACTTCACATTACGTGACCTGGTTCAAAAGGTTATGCTGGCAAACAGTGCAAAGTGACCACAAGAGAGTTGTACCCAAAGCTGGGCTGCGTACAACCCAGTATCTATCATGCAGTAGAGTGCACGGGTTCATCACGTGATGTGAAGTTCTGCCGTCGCAGACCCCATAGCTGGAGTTGCACACTCTTGGGGTTATGTACTCTTGTTATTAGGTTGTCCTTCCCGGATGTACTGCACGTCCAGAAATATTCATCCACGAAGATTTTCGTACTTTGAGCCAATTCTAATGTAGTGCCTCCACCCGCTGCAGTTACGTGACCAACTTCACCTGCTAGTCATGTGACCAACTTCACCTGCTGTAGTCATGTGACAGTTTCACCTGCTCTCTATTAGTCATGTAACTTACCAAGGGTCGTGACGAAATGAGAATGCGCTTCTAACGTCTTTGAACATCTCTGATTCTTGATGTCCCAGACCTTGAGTGTCTTGTCATCGCTACAGCTCACCAGATACTTGCCGCCGGGATGGAATAGTACATCACGCACCCAGTTCTCATGTCCAGGCTATACAACATACACATGCACATACACATGCACATGTACACAGACGGATACACAGACACACATGTACATGCACGCAGACACACACACACACGGTTTAGACAAATGACGCATTACATTCTTGTCCACAACCCAAATACACCGATAGTAGGCCAAAGACTTAACCCACACACCTCTTACAAACACACACACACACACACACACACACCATTGGACCATTGGACGCCCATCGCCGGAGGCGATGATAGCGATGCTACAGCAGAAGCCATAGCAGCTTGTGCTGGGATTGCACCATTCAACAGCTTGCAAGGCTGAAGAATTGACCGCCACTATTCAGCCTGGTCTACACCACACAGCTATGAAGTGGCTTTTTCTGGCCAGTGAATCCCTACTTTTTGGTCTTTTCACTAGGGCTGAAACAATCATTCAATATCTCTTAACCCTTTGAGCACGCATGACGTATTAATACGTCACGTACAGTGTCACTGCACCCACGCATGACGTATTATTACGTCGTGAGTGTACATAGCGTACAAACGCGATTTGCATGAACCGCGTGAGTTCAAACTATCGTAACTCGGTCAATTCTTGGCCGATTCTCACGATCGAAATATGTATCTGCAAGAGAAAACTCTCAGCTTGCGATAGAAACAATCGCCGAAGCGATACGACCCCGGGTTGTTGAGATATGCGACTCGACACGGCAAATTCAAATCGATTTTTTTTGCGAACTCTGCAGAACGCGTATTCTCCATTTTCGCGCTATCTGCTGCCATGGAAACTAGATTCAAATGATGGCAGCGGATCTGGGGAGTCCTCAAAAAAAATTTGAGCTCGATACGAGCAAGGAGAGTGAAATGGCAGCTGAGGATTTGATCTCCTGGCCGTGCTCAAGTCTGTCGAGCGCGTGCGTGAAGTTTGCCAGACTGTAGCATGGGCTTTTGGTGTCGCTCCGAGCTGAGCTTGGAACTATTTTGTTCCACGCCTCAAGACCTTTCCAGGAAGCTCAAGATCGTGGAATTCGTCCAAAGGAAGGTAAAGTTATCGATCCTTGAACAGCTACTACTTTCATAGGAAAAACGCGATTTTTGCAGGTGTTGACGTGGGGCGGCATTCAGGTAGCGTCGTGCTCAAAAGGTTAACAACCAACCAATATCATTAACGATCGATATATTGGTTTTATCGATTCTTGTCGGCTCTACCTGTTTACCTCGAACACCAGTTTATGAAGATATTCGACGATACCTTTACAACGTTAGAAATTTGTGGCTCCGCACTGTTGACATCTGTAGACATCTGGCTGGTTTATCAACATGAACTAGAGGATTTCACGTTGTTTCTAGAGCGAAGAATTTTGTCATCACCCTCCGGCAACTGCTCTGACCTTTCCCACAAATGAACTGAAAAGACAAAGTCTTCTCTCCCGATCTCTTGCAAAGCCACAAGTCAATTTTACCGCGCTTGAAAGTACATGATCGTACTCGTATTCGCTATCGGATGGGGTGCAAGGGCTAGAATACTGTCACTGATATACACGCATAAACATCGTTAGCACTCGTTTTGAACACGAACGATTATCGATTCCACTCTTAACGATCGATATGCGAGTTATCGGTATAATTGTTTCAGCCCTACTTTTCACACACACACCTCTCTCTTATAAACACAGTTGTAGACAAGAGTAAGCATGCAAAGGACAGGCCAAACACACACACACTGTGACAAACACACACACAGACACACACACATGCACACTGTGACACACACAGACACACGTGGACTCACCAGTTTTATCAGGCACACACCAGCCGTCACATCCCAGATGTTTATTACACGATCTCTTGAGCCGGAAACGAGGAAGGGACCAATGCTTTTCGCATCCTTCTTGCCCTGCACAATAAGGAGGTACAAGACACAAGCACACGTCAGCTAGTCACTTCATTCGGTAAATGTCAAACCAACAGTTTCCAGTCTGGACTTGCCATGTGTGAGTGCAAGCATCACTTAAGAGCAGAGAGAAATTTCAACGCGAGCCGTGATCAGTCTGCGCACGGGGAAATAGCGATGCTACAGCAGAAGCCATAGCAACTTGTGCTGGGATTGAACCATTCAACAGGTTGCAAGGCTGAAGAATAGACCACCACTGTCCAGCCTGGTCTACACCACAGAAGTCACACACATACACATACAGCACACACACACACAGAAACTTACATCTCCGCTGAGAGCATCGTTGATGGCTGCATGTGCTACCTGTGGTGCCCATGCCACACATTCGACCACATGATCATGGTCACGCAGTTCAGACTTACACTCTTTGCTAGCTATTGACCATACGCGTACAGTCTGTAAACAAACAAACAAACACACACACACACACACACAGAAAGGAGAGGGCAAATGAGGGAAGAGATAGAGATAGATAGAGAGAGAGAAGAGATAGACAGATAGATAGATGGAGAGAAAAGATAGATAGATAGAGAGAGAGAGAGAGAGAGAGAGAGAGGAGATGGGGAGAGCAAGAATGAGAATATAAGCGTGTCTGCAAGTAAAATAATCAGCACCCAAAACCAAAAAAGAAGAAGGAAAAACCAAAGCACTTCAGGCTTTACCAGGAGCAGCACCACTACCCCCACTTTGACCATCACCACAACCATCACCATCAGTAGCAGCAGTGATGGTAGTACAAGCAGCAGCAGCAGCAGCAGCAGCAGCAGCAGCAGCAATGGTAACACATCAGTAGCATATACGGCGTACCTGATCGTTGGAGCCACTTGCAAGTAGCGTACCGTCAGGACTAACTCTTACACACCGTACCCACTCTCGATGACCCATGAAATTCTGTACACAATACCTGCACACACGTATGCATGCGCACACGCACACACACAATACAAACAGTTGTATGAGGATACTGAAAAAGCAACAGCGAAAACGACAGACAGACAGACAGACAGGCGGGAGAGAGAGAGAGAGACAGAGGGACAGAGGGACAGAGAGAGAAAGAGAGAGAGACAGAGAGAGAGAGAGAGAGAGAGAGAGAGAGCAGAGAGAGAGAGAGAGAGAGAGAGAGAAGAGACACACACACACACACGTGGACATACCCTGTGGAGACTTCCCACATCTTGATTGATTTGTCACGCGATGCAGACACCAAGAAGTCACCGAGGAACAAAACAGACTGACGAGATGTTGTGTTCGTGGCCTCTCAATGTTTTCGTACAATCGTATGTTTGAAAGTCCCATAGTCGAATGGTAAGATCTGCACTACAAGAAGCTGTGGAGTAGGAAAGAGGACAACGGCAGAGCACAGG